CCTTTCTTTTGTAGTGCATATACCAACCAAAACTAAATAATGCTACGTCTATATCTTTGAGGAACTATACATGCAACTTGTTTTCTTGAACTTAAGTGTATGCCTCATAAAAAATCTTAGTGAATTAAGATCATGGTTGGAAAGAAATTAATTGGTTTAGAAATTATTTGAAATTCTCTTATGTGTAAATGACATGACAATAATAAGCCATAAAAACTCGTAACATTGAGGATCATGAATGTAAATGGTCTTATCATCATCTAAATGTTTTAGTCATAAATAGTTTGTCCGACAATTCATCATCAATGTCCAAGCTAGAAGTTGAAAGAGGCTCGAATTGAAGAGCTTTTTTGGACATAGTTTATATGTGATAATTAATTGGATATACTTTTTAAAGGGATCAAGACCAATAGAGACGTTTGTCATTTCACTCACTAAGTTATTCGACGAAGAATCTCTTCGTTTTTTTTTACAAAACCTCAAATCGTGAAATACATTTCTGTTTTTTAGCCGGTGCATCTCTGCGCACCATTGTTTTTGCTAAGCGCACCCATTTTGCAACGTTGTTGGACAATTATGTCCTAGCGTGTATGTTTATAGGGGTTTTAACTTTTTGAAATTAACAACGTTGTTCAATAATCCAAATTATACTCTCTCCCTCCCGGAAAATTGTTCCCGATTTCCTTTTTGGGTCGTCCCAAAAAATTGTTCCACTTTCCCCTTTTGGAAAGTTTTTTTTGCTACAATTCATTTACCTTTTTCTTACTTAACCACAACCATACATTTCCACTTTATTCTCACTTTCTTAAACTCAATTCCAAGTCAATGCGGGAACAATTTTCCGGGACGGAGGGAGTAATATTTTGCTATCAGCGTGAAGCACACTATTTCACTAACTTGTATTCCTGGTCTTTTTTTTGCAATGGTATTCCTGATCTTTAATAGAAGATATTCTTTTGTTTATAACTTAAGGTTTTTCAAGAATATTACTTATAATTTGCAACCAAATTAAGATGGGGGAGTGACTGTCCGTACATATGTATTTGAAAAGGTATTATGACTCCATTTTTATCAAATTAACTATTGTTTGAAAAGTGTTGGTGTGGTAGATTGATATTGAGATTTGGAATAACGAAAAAAATATTTTAGTAATAAAATAAAGGAAAACCCATATAAAAAACAATTAAACGATCATATAGAGTAACTTCAACTAAATTAGCCACAGAGTAACTATATAACTTTACTTATATTGATTATTATAGAATTCATCACACACGAAATTAAAAGTTACGTTTCTTACAATAAATTGGTTGATAATGGTGACAAAATGAAATTATGGTTATCAAACGAGATTTGTGATATATTTAACTGTTCAAAATGACTTTTTTATAACTACTCCCTCCGTCCCGCTATGATTGTCTTATTTTACCATTTCGGTTCGTCCCACTAAGTTTGTCACATATCTTATTTGGTAAAGTTTGTGTGGTTCTAAATCATTCCTACTTTATTCTTACTTTATCAATTCAATATCAACCACATAAACCCACTTTTATTAAAAACCGTGCCACCTTCTCTTGTCCCAAACTTAGGGGGACGGAGACAGTATTATGCAAATTCCGTTCGATAACCCTGAAAGTGGGTGAATCTATTGAATTTGTAACAAGTGGTAAAATTCCGACCAAAGCGGTTGAATTGGTGAAATCCACTGAGCCCATTTGGAGACTATGATTTTCGGCTTATCAGATTATCAGCCAACGTTTTCACCAAACACGTAATTTATGATTTCGCGCGCTGAAATGTGTAATAATAAGACAAAGTAAGGTTGAACTGTTGAAATTACCTTTCTGACTGTATCGGCTGAAGTTACTGTAAAAGATCATTTTAGCTATTTATTCATATATATTTTTTCTTTATTTATTAATAAAAAATATTTTAATTTTTTTTCATAAATCGGCAGAATCAGCCAATCCAGCCACTTCAGCCAAAACTTCATAAATTCCAGCAAAAGCAGTCGATTTAGCCAATTTCACTGTTATCAAAAGGGCTCTGAATTATGAAAAGAAATTATAAATCATATTCTACTAATAAATAAATAAATAAATAAAAATATTATTTGAAAAACAAAACATTATTTTGATCATTAAAATCCTATGAATAAGTGTAAACGAAACACAAATATTTAAATTTATTTAACAAAGAGAACCTGGAAAAAGATTTGAAATTTAAAAAAAAAAAAACAGGCCAAAAGAATGTGCGGCTGCATCTATTATCCTTTGTAGTTTGTAAATTAGGTAATTGAAAAAAAAGGTTTCATTTTAGACTTGGGACGCATGAGTTTAATTTGGTTACATAAACAAGGTTAAAAGTGTCAACGTGAGTTAGATTAAGTAATTTTGCATGTGCGCCTAGCAATCCCCTTTTTAGCGGATGAAATCCATTTTTAATGTCATTAGTGAAGTAAGTTTCATTATTAATGGTAGTTTCTTTAAGTGTCAATCTTTCCATAATTCCATGTGAATTATTATTATGCCATGAATTGAGTTCACGTCATTAAGATTTCCGATTTCCTGAGCTACATATGTATTTTTATCTATTTATTAGACAGTACTTGCTAAATTTCAAGCTTTTACTTATTTATCAGGTCATCTTCTATGCCATGCCGCGCCACAATCTTTGCATGAATCACTCACGAGTCAAGAACCAAAGTGATCAACCAAGCAGGTGCGTGATTTACCAGGTCAGATTTGCAATTTTAGTGCCACAACTTTAGACCGTTTTCATTTTTAGTTCCGTAACTTAAGTCACTTAATTGTAAGTTTGGTCCTATAATTAAAACTTTTGTGATTGAAGGACATTTCTCCGGAAAAGTACGCTTTAGGGCAAAAATATATTGAAAAAGATGCCGCCAACAATGGATTTTTTGTTGGAAAGTGTACTTTTCCGGAAAAGTCTTTTAACTCCAAAAACTTATTAGTTATAGGACCAATTTTAATTGCAAGTTGCTAAAGTTACGGTACTAATATGAAAACAGCCAAAAATTACGAGACTAAAATTGCAAATCTCTCTAATCTAAGATACGGAGTATACTTGGATCTAACAATTACACAAAACCTCACATACTATAACTGAAATAAATATATTTTATTTGAACCTACCATATAAAAAGTAGTTTTTTAGTTATACAATTATGTAACTATATAATTATGTAACTATATAATTATGTTTATTCATAAAATCATTGTCCCCGAAAAATTTGAATAACTTGTACACGAGATTGGAATGTGTCATTTTTTTTAGATATATGTTAAGTTGAGGAGAGTAGTATATGTTGTTCACACTTTTTACATTAGTTCCGATTTTTACTCACTCTATTTTAACAAACTAGAAGGTTTTTAACAAACTAGAACATTATAATAATACTAGTGTGATATTAAATTATATAATCTTTTCCCCTTTAAATAATGTTTTTATGTCATTGTTTTTTCCATAATAAGGTTTTTTACAAAGCAACTATTACTCATGTAATTAGAAGATGAACTTTCAAGTGGTGTTGAAAATAAATAAATGAATGAATATGTATCTTGTAATTATTCATGATTAGGAAGACATTATGATCATTACTTAAATAACTAAGGTATCATAATTATGATTTTTAAAGATAATGATTGTGTGTCTAATATTGATGATTATATCTTGAGTTGATCATATGTTTAGCCTGTATATAAATAAAAGTTTTTTACTTCATTGTAAGTGCACCTCTGATAGCACATAACTGTTAATTTGCTTTCATTTTATAACATGCATCTATTATTTGGGTTGACTTATTTGTTCCATTGTTCTATATTTTCTAATCTGAATTGGTATATAAGTATATTTAAGTATTTAAATATACTTTAATGTAGTGTCCTGGTGAGCATTATATAATTAAGGGTAAAATAAATAATATATTCCGAACTTTGTCCTTGTGTGAACTCCCCACCCTGAACTTGTCCTAGTTTAAAAAATACTCCCAACTTTATTTATTTAAATTTTTTGTACCATATTTGAATTAACAAGTAATTTATCTCAAATTTAAATATATTAATTAGATTAAGTTGGTAAGAAAAGATGTGTGATTCACACACACACAAAAATGTGTGCTTTTGTAGATGGTTTGGTAGCACATGGGGCATAAATATTTCAATTTGATAAAGTAGGAGATATTTATACAATATGGACAAGTTTGGGGTATGAATATCACATATGCAAGTTTATGGTATTTTATTTATTTTACCCTATAATTATTATACAAAGTACTATTTATGTTTTAAGTGTGCTCAATTATGATCTATTCGTGAGTAATATAGGGAGTGTTTGCGTTTGCCTATGCTTCTCAAAAGTGATTTTTTATAGAGATTATTAGAAAAATGATTTATAGTAAATGTAGATAGTATTAGAAAACAAAAGTGATTTTTATTAAAAAGGTAAAAATGGAACCATTCAACAAAAAAGTGTTTTTCATGATAATGAGGGTGTTTGGGTGCTAGCGTTTCAATCCAATCCGCTGAAGTTTTACAACTAGAAACGCTGCAGCGGCATGATGCAGCGGTTTTGCATCCTAACCGCCACTAGACAAACACGGCCAACATGGTATGGTTTAGGAGTAGTATTCCGGTCCCTTTCTTCCTGACCGGAGCGCCGTCTGGCCTCCTCCTTTTGGGGAGGTTTCCGGTGGTATTTTTCGCTCAATTTTTTTTGTATATTCTTCATCAAGTTTAGTTCATCCATACCAAATTTGAGAAAAAAAATCCATCAGGAAGGCCGTCAAATGATTTTTAAAAGTTAACTGGTCCGGAATATACATATAAAACGCAGTTAACTTTCAAAAATCATTTGACAGCTTTCCCGATGGAATTTTTTGCTCAAATTTGGTATGGATGGACTAGACTTGATGAAGAGCATACACAAAAAATTTGAGCAAGAAATACCACCAGGAACTTCCCCAAAAGGAGGAGGCCGGACGGCGCTCCGGTGAGGAAGGGAGGGGCATGAATAATCCTATGGTTTAGTACCGAAAAATATCTTCAAGTCTTTATCAACTCACTCGTTGCTTGACACGTACTTTTCACGTGTTTTAACCGGTGGAATCGTCGGCTTATCACCTCATAACCACTGTCTTCCTCCGTCAGCCGCCGGTCACCTTCCGCTCCTACCCGAAATTCGACTCTTCTCAACCCGTTTCTGTTATTTAATCACGTTCGGGTCATCAGGTGATCCGTGCTAGCTTATTCTAATTTCTAAGTGTCGTTCTTGAGCTGAATCCGGGTTAAGCACTTCTAGTAGATGCCATGCCGATTTCAGCGTTGAGAGTTTGTTGATGTTTCAATCGGTGGATGATTTGGTGTCAAGATGATGGGGTATGAGAATCAGGATTTCGAAGAGGCGCATCTATATGCATCAAAGGAAGAAATGGAGTCTCTCTTCCTCGACGACGATCACGACGGCGGCTACTCTAATGGCCGCAAACCTTTCTCCGATCCATTATCAGCTTCACCCCTACCGTTCGCTGAAATCTCTACTAACGATGACCACCTGAGCCCTCCTCCTACTCAGACTCAAAACCCTAACTCCTTCAATTCCATCCTCGAACCTCCCTCTTACGCGGATGCTATTTTCCGGTCCTTTGACGCCGACCACTCTCCGGCTGAAGTCAACGGACACGACCAATCGGGAGAGTCTCCTTCTTCTTCGTCCCCGTCTGCGGCAATGTCCGAATACCTTCAGATCACGGTCTCTGATCCGCAGAAGGAACAGGAGCTCTCCAATTCTCTCGTTCCAGGAGGGAACACTTACGTGACCTACCTCATAACTACGACAACGAACTTGCCTCGGTACAGCAGAACTGAATTTAGCACCAGAAGGAGATTCAGAGACGTTGTGACATTGTCCGACCGGTTATCAGAAGCTTATAGGGGCTTTTTCATCCCAGTACGGCCTGATAAGAGTGTGGTAGAAAGCCAGGTGATGCAGAAATACGAGTTTGTCGAGCAGAGGAGGGCAGCATTGGAGAAGTACTTGCGGAGGCTGGCAGCACACCCTGTCATTCGGACTAGTGAGGAGCTGAGACTTTTTTTGGAGGCGCAGGGTAAATTGCCGCTGGTGAAGACGACTGATGTGGCATCCAGGATGCTGGGTGGGGCAGTGAATCTTCCAAGGCAGCTCTTAGGCGAGACCGGAGGAGCAGGAGCTTTGGACCTGAATGAGATGGTTCAACCTGCCAAAGGAGGGATGGACTTGATGAGGATGTTTAAGGAGTTGAGACAATCAGTGACAAACGACTGGGGTGGGGTGAAGCCGTCTGTCATGGAAGAGGATAAAGAGTTTCTGGAGAAGAAAGATAAGTTGCAGGGGTTTGAACAGCAGCTCACTAATGTGTCTCAAGAGGTTAATTCCTTCCATGATGATAGTCTAATTTTGAACATACAAGGAATTAAAGTACGTGGAGTGTTGTTTTAACAAAGGATTCATGATTATATGATTGGAATTTGAACAAGAATGACCAAGAATTTACCAAGTGATGCAATCAATGCATAATTGTATATATTTTGATGAAGTGTAGTTATTTTATCTTCTCTTAAAGAGAAATAAGGTTCTGTATGTTATACATAATGACCTTATTTTTCTTATCAGCAAAGTAGGTAGCTTTTGAATTGCTTAGTTGGCTACTTGGCTGAAATGTATGTTACAAAACACATTTCCTTTCTGAAAATGATTCAGCATTTTCAACCATTTCAGACAATGAAACCTAACCAGATCTGCTCTAAGATCAACATGGGCACTTTACTTCTCCTTCAAAAATCTTAATATTAAATTATTACTCTGTATTTTAATCACTTTGCGGTTCATACAGGTAATGGTATCTGTAACCTAAATATACCATTTCAATTGACTGAATTGGAATGAATTGTTGTGTAATCAATATGAGTTCTTACACTCTTCTTTGTCTTTATTTCAACGATGATATCAGGCTGAAGCACTTGTGAAAGCACAGCAAGACATTGGAGAAACAGTGGGGCAATTGGGCCTAGCCTTTGTTAAATTGACTAAGTTTGAAACGGAGGAAGCCATTTATGACTCTCAAAGAACAAGAGCTGCAGACATGAAAAACGTAGCAACTGCTTCTGTTAAAGCAAGCAGATTATATAGAGAATTAAATGCACAGACAGTCAAACATTTGGTACTCAATGTTAAATTTTTAATCAATTCTTTTTTTTTTCCTTTTTTTTTAAATTTGAAATACTCGTCAATTGTGTATGCTCAAGCAACATATTTCATCTGGTTAACAATACTTTCCGTTTTGAAGGGAAAGTTTTGTTTGGAATTCTTCTGTTTTCATTAAACCAAGACAGCTTTTTATGTTTTTTATGTCCCTTCTGTAAGGCCCCCATGCAAAACAAATTTTTAGCAATGATTAAATGTTTGTAAGGGGTAATATTGTGAAGTGATTCTCAATTTATTCACTCCTTAATCTGCTTCTTTTTTTCTGAATGATACTTAATGTGAGGAGTACTTATATATTTGAGTCTCCCTTGCAGGATAAGCTTCATGAATATCTTGGAACAATGTTAGCTGTCAATAATGCATTTTCGGATCGGTCTAATGCATTATTGACAGTACAGACGTTGGTATCAGAACTGTCATCGTTAAATTCCAAGATTGAAAAGCTTGAAGCTGCATCCTCTAAGATATTTGGTGGGGACAGGTCTAGAATTCGTAAAATAGAAGAGCTGCGAGAAACTGTTAGAGCCACTGAGGAGGCCAAAAGTTGTGCTGTCCGAGAATATGAGCGCATCAAGGTAGCCTTTTCAACTCTGTCTTGTTCAGGACCTCATTTTGGTGAAACTTAGCTCTAACACATTGTTCCAAAATCATTGTAGGAGTTTAGTGCATAAATTTTAATTACTCTTCCAAACATGCCCATATTAACTTTTCCTACATTAAATTTTATTGTTCCTCTTAAAGAAAGGAACTTTATTTAAAGTTTATCTTAAATAAGGGTAAAAGGGTCATTTTGAAAGGACTCTTATACTTTCTCTTTCTACAATATCAATTATTTTTATAACTCTTATTTCATCTTGAATTGTTGATGACAATGATATCAGGAAAAGGCCCACTCTTAATAGCTGTGCAGTACTGCAGCTAATAGTTACTTTCCGTGTATGGAGGGCATAATGTTCACAACGCCACAACTGATCTAACACTTTCTGGTTCTTACCATTTAAGTTTTATTCAGAACTGATTTGGTTTGATATGTTTCTTCTAGTGATACTTGGCAAACCTGTTTATTCTTCACAATGTGTGATCTATTATTTTGTGATGACAAACTTATTATTTACCATAATTCGTTCCTGTAACAGTCTTGTCATATTAATTAATTGCATGATATTATATGAGGTCAATATAAATGGATTTTGTTGTGAAGTAGTGCTAACTTGGTCGAATGAATTTAAAGAAGTTATGCTTGCAGTATTAGTTTTCAACGTTAATGCCTTTGAAAAGATCTTGTTATATCTTCTCTTATCCTTTACACCAGCAGATCATGGAAACTGATAATGGGTAAAATTTTGCAGGAAAACAATAAGAATGAACTAGAGAGATTAGAAAAGCAGAGGCATGATGATTTCATGAGCATGCTGAGAGGATTTATTGTTAATCAGGTATCTGTTGCTCATTCGTAGTTTCTCTAGTCAGAGATGTATTTATTCTGATATGCATGTAGTCTTTCCATGAAACTGTTTTGTAACCACTGATATAATTTCAACGTTAGCTTAGCGAAATATGATGTTGATTCCCCTGCTAAAGTCGCACAATGGGCAATTTGGTCCTTGTCATACAAATGGGATATCACTTCTTTTAATAAATAGAATGTTGACCAGGTAGGATATGCAGAAAAGATTGCTAATGTTTGGGAGTCAGTGGCAGATGAAACAAGTGGAGGTGCTAAACAAGTTGGATGATTTTAGTTGATATTTTCTTAGCTTTTTGTTCCCAATGTCATGTAATTCAATTGTGTACAATGTAATGGATTTGTTGATAGAGAGCAAGATTAACATTCTCCTTCGAGGCTGAAGATTCTTAAATTGAGAGTAGAGTTGTGGATGAGGTTCAATGGTATTTGTGGATGTACATAGGCTCATTTTTTCTTCTACTACGTCTATGTTCTAAATGGTTTCATGCGTTCTACATTGATCCTTCAAAGTTGTAGTCTTGTAGACATTTGTTTTGGTCAATCCTGCTTATGCTGCTGCTACTCTGCGTGATTGCTCGACTGCCAAATCGGATTGTTGAATATCTTGATGTAACGTCTTGGGCATAATTTCGAATCTACCCGACTGGGTAGCATGGACTGGGTTGTATATATTGTGTGTTGTAAACTTTCAATGTTGTGCGGTTGCATGCTCCTGGTGTGAGTGTTGCTGATAAATGCGCATATTAATTATAAGAGCATCTCCAATGCAAGGTACAAACAAAGTGTTCCAAACGTCAAATATATAAGACTCTAATCTAAGTAATACAAAGTGAAGTCACAACACATTGAAATATAAAAAATGTCTGGTGCATGTACTCTCACAGTCTAAGTTTAGTCTCCAGGAAGAGTTTACTATATCCAAGCAGTAGTACTTTTTTTGTGAATTATCAGCTGCCCTGAACCATATCGGATTTCAAAGCGCTGCTGAACGCGTGTTCATCTTCTAATATTGCATTCTGTATTTCGGCAATGATGCAAAATAAAATCAAGGTCAAATTTTTATTCAAACGGAATCCTCTTTTACACATACACGCACAAACATGACCGCAGTTCAATCTATAGATTTGGTTTCAATAAGACTTTATTAAAATTGTATATACATTCAACTTGATAACTGACACATTATATTCAAAATATGTTCAGATTATACATGAAAGTATAAATATTGTATACTAAAGCATGTGTGTGTGTGTGTGTGTTTGAACCATAACCTTGAATTGTTATGCTACTGATCGAGCCATCGAGGTTTGAAATCCAACACAATTGTTAGAATTGCAAAGTATGAATCTGCTTGATTTCCTCAAAAGATTTAAAGCAAAGAAGAAATTGTTGACTAATTGTTCTTGCCAGTGTACGAGAGCTTCTTCGGTGATTTGTGGAAAATTATAGAAAATAATGATCTGTGGGAGTTTAGTAAACCTACACGATATCTCCGGACTTTTTTCATTTCCGGTCCCTATAATATTTTGATGAGTCTTGCCTTTTTATTTATCGGATCAGCAAGTTTAACCACACTCAAGTCTCAAACGATCACTTTTGATTTTTTTTGTTTAGTTAGTAAAATGTTACTACAAGTGTATAGTTCTAATATAACTTTGTCCAGTATTAAATACGGGAGTATCAATCTAACAAGTGGAGTTCATTTGCCAGTATACTAATGTAATTAAATTAAAAATAAGTTTCTTTCATTCTATAGAGGAGCGATGCCTTTTTTCAAGATATGAGATTTTACAATCCTTTCATTTAGAAACCATGAATGCATTTAGAAACCATGAATGCATTTTCATAGTATTGGTTGTGGTTATAACTAGAGCCAGTGGTGGAACTAGGGATGGACCCGGGCCGGGCCGGTTCCGGTTCCGGGCCGGGCCCGGGCGGGCTTTTTTTCGGGTTACATGGGCCCGGAACCGGCCCGGGTTGATACCGGGTCCGGGCCTAACCGGGCCGGGCCGGGCCGGGCCCGGTTCAATGTTTTTTTTTTTTTTTTTTTTTTGACTTTCTTGTTATCTCCCTACCCCCCCCCCCTCACCCCCACGCCCCAAACCTCCCTAAAACACCCAGCCCTACCCTAGGAAAAGAAAAAAAATTGAAAAAAACAAAAAAAAAAAAAAAAATGAACCGGGCCCGGCCCGAACCGCCCGGGCCGGTTCAACAAAAACAAGGCCCGGAACCGGCCCGCCCGACCCGCCAAAACGGGCTAAAAGCCCGGAACCGGCCAACCGGGCCCGGTCCGGTCCGGGCCCGCACAGTAGCGGGCCGGTCCGGTTCCGGGCCGGTTCGGCCCGGCCCAGTCCATCCCTAGGTGGAACCAGATTAAGGACCTTGGAGGGGTACTTAACAGGAAAGCGAAGGTCTCTGAAAAATGTTGCATCCACTATCTAGAATATACTACATATATATTTTATTATATAATATTATTGAAAAGTAAACCGATAAATCACAATTTTGATTACAAATGAGATTTTTTTATGAAACCAAAAAACAAGAAATTAAATATGATGTGTTGGTTTGATGAGAAAGCTACCATACCAAAATTGTGATTCCTACACCCATGTACTAGAGAGCTAAATGGTGCATCACCAAAATTTGAATATAGCTATTTAAAGCCATTTTAAATTAATTTAGAGCTTAAAAAGACACAAGTAAAGCAAAAACATAAAAATAACCAAGAAGGAATTCAGACCCTAGACCCTTTTCACCAGTGGCGGACCCAGAAGTTTTCTAAAGCAGGGGCACAGCCGCATGTATAGGAATGGCTCGGGTCAGGTGCATCATTGGTCCGTGAGCGGATCTAGGGGACGTAGGCCCTGGCTCACCCCAAATCTAAAAAATGTTTTAATCTTTAAGGTAAACAATTTTGTGTAAAAGTTTTTTCAAAAATATCTTTGCACCCATCTAGTCCCGCACAGTGCCCTAGTTCCGCCCTTGAACTGGTTTATTATGTCTAGTCTATTTAGATTATTATTTTTAACTGAAAATAGATTTTCAATGTCGATTTCAAGGACATATATAGATTATAGGTCTATTATTACGTACAAAATGTTATTGAATTCGTATCAATGTGAATTTCCAAAATATCAACTTTTTATAATGTTTACTAATACATAATTAAATATAATTACAGTCAAAGTTGTGCATTGACAAACATAAAAGTCAAATTGTTGCAAAAATTAAAGAACGGAGGATAGTATATAAAAGCCAGAGCACTGATTTAAACAAAAACCATACAACCAGTGTAGCTCCTCCAATTCTTTATCCATCAAAGAGAGAACCAAAATTGTCAAGTGTTTGCTTTCAATTTGTGTAGAAACCACTAAGACACTAAAAAGCATATCTCCCAAATCCCAATATTCTCTCATTATTGATTCTGAATAAATCATTTAGCCCAAATTGGATACGCAACGGAGGGACGGACCAGTTCCGGAGTTTGGAGCTTCTGAAACGCGGCTTTACAATCTAACAAAACGTCTACGTTTTGATAATAACAATTGGAATTTTTAGATGTTCACATGAACACCCTTGAACAACACTAGCTCCGCCACTGCACATTGCTACATAGTATTTCAATAACGTACGTAACGCGAACTATGATATATAATAAATCAATTCATATTGTTTTAGGTCCCTATAAAAAATATAATTCATGTAATATGCATTATTTTCTTTTGGAAAAATTGATAATAATAATAATCTCAACTATTTGCGGTCCGTTCATAATAATCTTAACTATCGATTATTTTAAAATAATCCCAGCTTTAGAGACCTTTTGCCGATAATGGTCAGATGTGAATGACTACCTATTCAGTCAATTAGAAAAGAAATATCAATTTTTAATAATCTCAACTATTTATGTCGACTTGTATTGGACCCAAAAGAATTAAATTAAATATTCCATACATAAATATAAAAGGATTAAAAAGAGTATAAAAATTTATTTTTACTTAAATAAAAAAGGGTAAATTTATTTTTAATTAACTTTTTTAGGTAGTTTGTGGAATTAAAAAATGTAAAATATAAACTATAGAATATGAAAAAAGTTATATCAATTTTAAAACTGAAATTTCATAACATGTAAGTTACTATAAATATATAAGGAATATAAAGTATATAAATTAGGCCAGTAAAAAGGTCATATAAAAACCTTAAAGGAAAAATGAAATACAAATTAAGTGCAAATTCAAATTTAAAAAAAAATGAAAACTTTTATAATGGTAGGTTTATTTATAGCCTCCTGAGGAGTCTATTTATAGCCTCCTTAGAATGGTAGTTTTTATAATGATATGGGCTCTCCTTTTTAGGAGGCTCATTTCTAATTTAGCCTAGTAGCCTTTTCCATTTTAGGCTTATTCTATGATAAATAAATAAATAAATAAATAAATAAATAAATAAATAAATAAATAAATAAATAAATAAATAAATAAATAAATAAATAAATAAATAAATAAATAAATAAATAAATAAATAAATAAATAAATAAATAAATAAATAAATAAATAAATAAATAAATAAATAAATAAATAAATAAATAAATACAAAGTCCTAAGAAACATTGATCTCTAACACTTTTCATTCTCCTTTGTCCTCTGTTTTTTATCTTCTTTTGCTTTTTTATTTCAATCAATAATTTTGTTTCACTTTTTCAGATTCTAAATTGAACATTTATCTTTTAGATCTGCAAAATTGAGATAAGAAAATGTAAGGCTTCGATGTTTTAGATCCTAACTTTATTTACAGTGTCATGTTCTTGAATCAGAAGTGTCAAATTGACAAATAATGCTGCCATTTTCTGATTATGACTAACTTTTATCACTTTTAATTTTATAATTTTTCTTTCAATATGACATTCTTATTTATCTGAGTATGCCATTAATCAAACGAAAATGCCATTTTCCTTCAAAGTAGGAAGTCATTTTTTTTAATCTCGAAGTGCCATAAATTTTTAGATGGCATAATTTTTTGGCAAAATTGACATAAATAATCCCTACTTTTATGCATTTTACAAAAATAATCCCTACCGGAAAAGTTTACAACAATAATCCGAACTACTTAACTCTTTCACAGAAATAAACCGGAGTTAACGATTTTAACTTTTCCGTTAGCTTTTTTATTGCATTTTAAATATAATGAAGCAAAAATATGTACAAACACCAACATTATTATATACTTTGTATATTTGTCCTTATATTTACTTTTATTATGAATTAAATTTAATAGTCATTATTTTTCATAAAATGTAATAGAAATATTTAAGAATGCACTCATCAAATTCTCATTTTTCTTTTAGTTCTAATCAGTATTTTATTTATATTCATTTTTATTTCATTGTATAAGAGATTTAAAATTAGTTTTAGTAATTCTATACGAAGTACTACGGATTAAACATTAGCACGTACTAAAATGAATACAAGTCTGTGTTCAAATTTTTATTATATTTTACAAAAAATAGTTATTATTAAATTAAATTTATAGTAGAAATAAGACTAAACAAAATATAATATTATTAATGTTTTTATATATATTTGCTTCATTTTATTTTAAATTTTAAAATAAAAATTAACGGAAAAGTTAACACCGTTAACTTCTGGTTTATTTTTGTGAAACAATTATCCAGTTGGGATTATTGTTGTGAACTTTTTGTGTAGGGATTGTTTTTGTAAAATGTCTAAAAGTAGGGATTATTGGTGTCAATTTCGCCTAATTTTTT